GAGAGAGAGAGAGAGAGAGAGAGAGAGAGAGAGATCTTGGTGACATTGGATCCAGACTCGACTTTTGGGCTTCAGACATTACGACGAGGGATTATTTGGGGCTTGTGACAAAGACTTGGTGTTGACGACATTCCCATCACTCCCCCTCTCTTCGTCTGATCCCCTCCTCTTCGTCTGTGTATGTCTGGACCTGGCGCTTTCTTCCTATGTACAGCGCCAGGCTCCTTCACACTTTGTGATGGACATGATATATGTTTGGTCTGCGTTCAAACATTGATTGGGCTAGTCATTAGCATTCTAGCATTTTGCTTCACTATCTTATACTACGTGAATAAGGTCAGTCCCAGTCAGGTCAGGATTTGTATCTAAGTCTTCCCTGCGCTATTCAGCACCATTTTGTATCATACATGAAAGCGCACGTTGTGCGGGCGGTTCCCTACGTGCGGCGCACGTGCCCAACTGATCCCGTGCGGCGCACGACGTGTGCGGAGAACGACTGGACACCCCCCTCAGAATAAAAAAAAGGGCCGGGGTTGAAACGGTGCGTTTGAGGCCCCCCCCCAAAATTATAAGCGAGATGAAAAAACAATTTACAGGAGTACTGCCTTACCTTGCTCCTCCTCCCCTTCCTCATCCTCCATGTCTCCTCCTCCCTTCTCCTTTTCGACTCCTCCTCCTCCTCCTCCTCCTCCTCCTCCTGTTCGTCCTCCTCCTCCTGCCCTTCCTCATCTTCCTTGTCTCCTCCTCCTCGTACTTCCTCATCTTCCATGCCTCCTCGTCTCCTTCCCTTCCTCATGTCCTCCCCTTCCTCGTGTCCTGCCCTTCCTCGCCGTCCAGGTCTCCTCCTCCTCCCACTGGTCCTCCTCCTGCTGCCCTTCCTCTTTTCCCTCTGTCCATCTCTTCTCCTCACCCATCTCGACTCCTCCTCGTCCTCCTCGTCCACATCCTCCTCCTCCTCTCCATATCCCCCTCTCCTTGCCATATCCACATCTTCCTGTCATACGCCCCCCCGTTCCTCCTCCCGAAAAAAAATAAAATAATAATAATAAAAATAAAAAACCTGCACGATTCCGCACAGGCACCCCCCGCACGGAACTCCGCACGAATGTGCGGCTTGTGCGGTTGCAAGTAAATTTGTATGTATTGGAATGCACATTGCTTGTTGAGATTCTACTTGTACTGCATTGTCCATTCAGTCCTTTTCATCACATTGCTGGTCCTCGGTTATTATGTACATCGCCCAACTGGGCATGTAACATCTACACAGACCTACGACAGACAAACAACCAACTACCAAATCACAGGTCGCGGGTTCAAACTCTCGGGAGTCAACTCGATACTGTACATGGGTAAGGTAAGGTCTGGGGATCGAACTCTAGGGCCCGCATCTGTGACTGCAAGGTGAAAACCGTTTCAGAGGAGGTACCGGTTGCTAGGAGGCCGCGCGGCCTAGGAAGTCACCGCCCAAGAGGCAAGTAGGCCGCTATATCTTCAGGAGGGGCAAGTAGCTCCTCCTCATCTGCGGTGTGCAAGGATTGGCGACATACTGCTGGAGCCAAGCGCTGCACTTGGAGCACTTCCTGGAGGAGGAGAGGAGCTGGGCGCTCAGCCTGACTATGGCGAGCAGCCCAGCCTGAGGAGGAGGAAGAAGGGGGTGAAGGAGGAGAGTGGCGAGGTACCTACCTGGCTATGGTGAACACCATCTTCATCACCTTGATAGGTGCTACATCTGGAAGGCCCAGTTGGGGTAGCGCAGCACCAAGAAAGCTCGAGGCAGGGTCGGGCATGGCGGCCTGATGAGCAGCGACATAGCTGCTTTGTGCTGTCCGTTGGACAGGAGGGCAGAGCCCTTAGTAGTCCGCCTAGGCATGTGAGAAGAGGAAGAAGGGGGAAGCCATGGCTATGGTGGACCTGTTGTTGTGTCAGCAGTAAGAGGGAACTTTGGATATTGGTTCTGGTTCATCACTCATTGTTATTATTATTATTGGAAGAAGAATAAGATTGGGGAAGTCAAGGAGGAGGAGGAAGGTGGATAGAGAAGGGGGATTGGTCATTGGTCTTGCTGGTGTTCTTCTTCTTCTTCTTCTTCTTCTTCTTTCTTCTTCTTCTTCTTCTTCTTCTTCTTCTTCTTCTTCTTCTTCTTCCTCCTCCTCCTCCTCCTCCTCTCTTCTTTGGTCTCCATGTCTTTGCAAGTGGTTTCATTTCTTTTGCAGTTGGGTGGCATTGTCTATCCTTGTGAAATCGCACTTTGGAAGTAACCAGGATCGTAACAACTGGGAAAAAAAAAAAAAGAATAACATGTGCTGGAATTTCCAGGCATCCCAGGTTTGAGATCTGTACACTATGCCCTCCTCTAGCCAACACCAATGTCCCGGCTGTTGAAAGTATTCACGACAAGCATTGAAAGACTGCAAACCGACTGCCACAGATGGGACTGTTTTGCATGTGAACTTGTATCTTTTGTTTATTATCCGGTAGTTTCATTAAACCACCATGACCTCCAAGCCTCTTCTATCCTGTGGGAGACTAGGTTCAATGCACCTTGGGATCGAGGCAACCAGTGGGGACCCCGGATGGCCAGGAATCTGGCAAGAGCCAAGTATTTGAGCTACAGAAAACTTATATTGACAAATTCACTGAGCATAACAAACTTCACGGGATGGATGGAAACCAAAGACCAGGGAAGTTCCCAGAGAACACACCAAGAGCCCAGCAGAAACGCCCTCATAAGAAGATCCAACAAGTGTACCCTAACGAGCAAAATCACAGGCGAAGTTGGAACACAGTCCCTGGATCTACAGAGGACAGAAACTGCAGCCAGAATCGGAAGATATTTGGAAAACATATGCGGCCTGGAAAGCCGAGGCCAGATTGTCCAGAAAGCTAAAGTGAGTGGTCCTAGGAAGCAGCACCGCCTAGAAGGGAGTTCCAGGGATATTCTGAGGTAGGTGGAAGACAATGGAAGCCTTCGGGAGCCAAGACACTACCTGGCCGCAAAAAATGGCCAGGCCCGCTCACAAAATAGTTCGTGAAGCGGACTTGGACTATGCACGGACAACTACTTGAGTTGGAAGGAAGAGACTTTCTGGTCCTGCGGCGGGCCACCTAAGCCAAACCCTGCCAAGCCCGCTTCTTGGTTGGATACAAAAGGGGGGCCTAGATAGAATGGGAGAGGGAGGAGAATAAAAGGAGGAACTAGGGGGTGCCACCAGGTCGCACCACATCATAGGATAGTATAGATACACAAATCCAGGTGTAGATGTAGTGTACGGACAAAATTAGAGATCCAGAGCAATCCGAGG